TGTATATCTAAGGTTTCTAAATATTTTTAAAAATCAGATGTAGGTATAATCATTTCTGTAACATTGTAACAAATGGAAAACAACATGTTCGAACGAAATCGTTCATCTTGAATAACTAAAAAGATAGAATTATGCCTTTTAATTAATACTATTACAAAGTAAAAATCATATTGAGGTAAGCTAGAAACAGTCTTCTCAAATTGAGACAAAATATTAGGGTATTCATGATATGAGGGAGTCATTTTCTTTCATCTATTAAACACGTAATACTAAATTTAGACCAAGTTTGAATGGTGACTACATAAATTCAAGATGACTCATCATTTCCACATGGCTTCAAACAAGTGTATGAATAACTTGTTAACTAGAGAAAAAAATTTAGACATAACTGGGGCTTGAGCACCTTGAATTCTTCACATTCATAGATAGCTAGAGAAATATCAACCATGTCTATTTCAAACCTGTGATATAGATAAAATATATATCCTTATTAAAAGACTTATTCTAAGAAACTTTAATTCGCAATATGAATTTCGTATGAGGTTATTTGACATAATCTTCAAAATGGAAATCCACATACAGAATATCGACTCAGTTATTCTACATTTCGTCATTCTGACACTTATGTTTCTCTCCGAAAGGCCCCTTAGCTCATGTTTATTTAAACTATTTATAAGTTTCAACTAATCATTCCTGTGATGAGATACAGAAACATGAACCTTTTTTTCAATACACTGATTACCTAGATAGATTTTCATATCATCATTTAAATTCACAAATTAGAAGGTCGGCCTATGGACTAGTTACACTAATAAAGTAGCTGTATGCTATAAAAGGTAAATATTGGGCTTAGCTGAACTATTGGAAATCCACAAAGAAAAGTTATCTACCTGCTGTGTTGTTGTATTCTCGTTGTCGGGGAAGTGATTGTGAGAAGACTGCATTCTAGACCAATAGTTGTCAATGTTTATGTCGGTTGTTACCTCATTATCACAATGTCACTGGTTATTAGAGAGTAATTAGCCCTATGTTGGAAATGTAAGCAAAATTATCGATACTCTGACTAATCATACAATTTCTGATAAAATTACGAGCCCCAGTACAACACAAGAAACCTGTTCCTTTTGACGTCATACGTTTAAGAAGAGAATTTTAAATTATTGATCCGTTACTATTTAGATTTCGTAATCCAGTCAGCGTTGATCCAGTCATTATTATTAGTTCATTTTAGCTCACAAGATCTAGGACAACAACGTAGTAGGTCTTGACGAAAAATCATCTTAATACTTATACATATGATTCGTATACGTTTTACTTGTTAGTCAGTCCGTGCCAAGCTACTTATTAATTCACAATAAAACACAAACTACTAACAAATGTTGTTATTTTATGTTATTGTTCGTAAAACGATAATATTTTTAAGAAGGTATTGGTAGCAGACAGAAGATTATGTCCTTCAATTGTTGTTCCTGTTTTACTTAGATTATTTATTAAATGAAAACTGAGATATAAAAATTCTTCAGAATAAATGATGAAGTACTTGTACAACTTGCAAAAACAGTTTGGTTACAACTTTCCTTGTTTAGGTCCACTTAACAGATGATTATGGTTCACAATCTTCGTTTACTAAAAATTGGTCTTTGTATCGTATTCTATGACTTTCGTTAAGTGTAACTTCCAACTCTTTTCTAAAATAGGCAGTATAACACTCGCTCCACCAAAAACTCCACCATTGCCTGGTTCCAAGTGCAGGATGAGAAGGGAGGAGGGTACCATAGAGAGTGTATAGCCAAATAAATAACACTATTAATTACGCGAGCACATTAGAGAAAAACTATTATTTAACTCATATGGCTCTACATGCGTAAAAATATTTGACTGGTCCAATGTTTAATAGTCAGTGAAATATATATATATATATATATATATATATATATCAAAAAATAGTAGTATAAGGTACAATTACTAGATACAAATGTAATGAAACAACAATATTAACTTTCTAGCCTGATTCTGTTTATGATAAATATTGAGTTAACGAGTATTCTCTTGATGACAACCAGATTTCAGAATGAACAATATTATGTAAAATTGTTCGATAATATTAGAATAGTTAGTAATACAGCTGGAAAGTCAATAAAATTAATGGGTATTATTCACGTTGGTATCTAGTCAGTTCTGAATAAAATATGATTTGTTTTGAGTGCGAAATCAATATTTGAAAATCTTTTGTTTATCATCTTAATACCACACTATTTGTGAGATATTTAATATTAACACTATTTAATAAGTTAAAGACTGTTTCTGCTCAAGAACTATCAAATGCTGTCACTGAGCATTTTTTCGAATTTCGATTAAACCTCAGTGTACTGAATCGAAATCATCACCCCAGATTGAAAGTCGTTTGTTTGTTAACCAAAAACTCGAGTCTATGGATTGTTGGAGATCCCCACAAAATAATATAGTAGCTTCCTGATGAAAATTAGTTTGTGATACTTTTCAGGCACTTCAGTTTGTATCATACATTATCAGTTAACCACTTAGTCTATGGTAAGCCACTTATTTATCAGTAAATGTTATGAAATAATTTCCATAAAAACTGTTTATTACTGCCAACTGAAGACGCATCAGAGTTATTTCGTCTGTGCCAAAGAAGTAATTGAAAAGAATTACTAACTTAGTTAAAATTATTTAGAATTAAAGAAATCCTATTTTGTAGTACTCCTATATTTCATAATCAGACTAGATGAAATTTGACTTTGATCACTCGAGTTTTGTACTTCAGTTAATTAATCCTCAAGAGAGTAATTTTAAACACCATTAATTCAAATCCATATGAACCTCAGACCTTCCTTTCACTTAATTCACGTCAATTATATTAATGACAAATATCATTAAAAATTCATTAAATTTATAAAAGTTTCAACAATTTAAATTAAAAATATTTAGCCTTTCGCTCGACAGTCTGATGTGAAATCCATATAGAAGTAATCAAAGAACAAAATTAAATAATTTAAGTATATGGTTGATAAGATGACTGTATTTTAAACAGTTGTCTTATTATGTTGATATGCTGGATTTTGAATCTGTGTGGAGATATGTAATTTGGTGTAAAATTCGGTGAAATTATGGTAAGAGAACAACTGTATCTGTACGTAGAGCTGATGTGGAAATATCATTGGTCATATATAGCCGTAGGTTATGGTGGGTGATAAAGGTACTCAATCTGACGGATGTCATAAATCGGACTTATCACAGTATGAACAGAGAATAAAAAATAAGTGTATCTGTGTTGTTGTGTTAAACATATATAAACATACATAATAACTGACTAGAACGAATGAATAAACGTCGTCTTTTACATAACATCAGGTGAAATAGAATTAGTAAAATAAATTCAAATTTACTTTATTGAACATTAAATCCTGAGGTACAGTTAAATATGCTCCATCTCTTCTATTTGTATAGTTTGTGATTAGTCATATATGTATGTGTATTCCATAAACTCAACTCCCAACTTCTGTGAAGCTATTTGTTAAAATGGTAAAGTGAAGAAAGCTATTATCAAATAAATTCGATTATTACATTTGTGAACACTAATTTGCTTCTCTTTACTCAGTTAAATATATATTGGGACGAAACTGAAGACAAAATTATCTGAGGCAAATCGTGGTTACTGATTAATTCGTAGAACACCTTGGCATAACACTCGAAAAATTAAGTGAATTTGTGTCTTAGTACAACTGACACTGTTTAAAGATATTTAAAGTAACCTGGTTTTATGCGAAAGTCTTATGAAATAACAGTTATTGTACAAGAAGATCATCTTTATCAGCAAATAACATGATAATTATAATGACGTCATGTAATGAGTTACAAACCAGGCTACAAAATCGTACCACATAAATGTACACCTACGTGTTGCGAATTTACATTATATCATAAAAGTATTAAAAAGTATACTTTTCCTTACTAAAGTACTGGAGTTTATGATCTTGTTGTAATGTGTTTCTATGACTTGAGGATAAATTTATTGCGATAAATACCTTTGAAGCTTAAAATACTTATCGGTGTTCATCCCACTTAGAAGAAATTAATAGGAATACCTAGAAATTCACTAGTTATACTGATCCTCATCCAATCGATTGCTATTATTTTATGCAAACATTTATTTTTCCGGAAAGCGAAAATATTTTATCGTTGCATATTAGTTTCCCACTATCTCTCGTATGACTCAGCATTTCAATATCGATTTTATACACTGTATTTGCAATACATGTTTGGTATGAAAGTTAACTAAATTAATCTGCTGCATGCACTAAAATAGGAGGACTGATTTAATCTGACGAACAAACAGGTGAAATTCAAATGTCTAGATACTTAATAAAGCTACAGAATTTTATTGTCATGGATAACTCACTTCGAGCATGATTTGTCGCAAAAAATGATGATAGGATATTTTGTCAGTATCTTTAAGAAATAATTTGCATTGTGACGTATCAGTTACACTGACTAAACTCTCAAAACACGGCTTCACTTTCCAATAAATAAATTTCTAGACTAATAACAAAGCAAAGAACTAATAGAACTTGAAATCTGAGAAAATTCACATTCTTTTACTTCATGTTCGCTAACAAAGTATTTCATTGACTGTTAAACTAGAGATTTTCGAGACATAACCTTTACATAAAATGTTCTAACTGGTTGTTTGGTTTAATTGATTTGTGTTTTTTTTAGTAGATAAAAGAAGCTTTCTATTCAAATTTGTATCAAGTAATTCTGCTAACAATGTGTTCACGCATAAGAAACTATCACTCTGTTCTTTGTGTAATTGGTGGGATCATTATTCAGTGTACTTACGGGTACTTTTATACAATCGGTACTGTCTATATATACTAATGTTTTAATTAAACCACTGATTATATTATATAGGTAATATGGCCCCATACATACTGGACTATTTTCAATACCATAATAAGTCGATTTATGATAATTCCATCATGTGGTTGACATCGGTTGCTTTGGGAATGGAAGCATTAGCTATGCCAATTGGTGGAGTATTGTACCGTAAATTAGGAATCAGAGCAGTGGTAATAATTAGTAGTTTAATTCATAGGTTAGTGAAAATATTTTTCTGGATTTTTTGCCGTTATCGGTGTTTGTTAGTATGTTTATTATAAAAATCATTTACTTAAGGAGTATTATTTATTATTGGCTAAGCGAAATAAAAAGTAATTCTAAAAATAATTTTGACATTCAACCCAAATGATAACAAATATCATTTTGACTGATGTATATATTTATATATAGTTGGGAGTTATCTTTGTCAAAGTGAGTTTGTGTGGTTTCAAAACTTGGTCAGCATTTGTTATTCAGATAACTAAGTTGGATGACAGCATTTTTAAAAAGATTCAACTCACACATATGAAAAAGTAATGCTCATCAGTCATTACCACGGATTTGTTGAACAGTTTGAATCGTAGATATTGGCGATTCACGTATTATTGTTTTAGCATTTTAATATAAGTGATCGCTGAATTAATAACTCATACTAAATATGAAGCATTTTCTGCAGTTATTACATGTTGCAATTGAAGTTCAGTAAATTAAGTGAGAAATATTCTTCCAAAATAATGGGATTAGTTAAGAAGAATCATAGATTAACCAACGTTGATCTAATTGTTTCTTCTCAACACAATAAGTCTGAAAACACTTAATAGTTAGTCGGAAACTTTTTTTGCATTAACCTCTATACACTAAAATATATCCTAATTCCTCTGAGTCAAACAGGAGAAAAAATTAGTCATTCATTCATGTTTATTATTTCTCTATTTGATATATCACTAACAGTCAGACTGCTAAGTGACATGAATATTGTACACACTTTCAGACGATTCTGAAAACAATCCTAACTGTTAGTCGATAGTAATAAAGGAATATATGGTCTAGAAATTTGAATAGTTTCAGTTTGTAAGTAGGACAAAACAATCATTATTCTATGAAGCATCTCACATTCAAATTCACGTTAGCTGAACAGAAATTATCTTAAATGACATTTTACTACTGTAAGTACGTAACTCTGTAGTTAGTTACTATTCCAGTCTAAACGTGTGTTATTTGGATAAATCTTAACAAACATATTTGTTGACTAGCACATGTAACCGAGAAAGGTATTCTCTATGTTTTAGCGGGGGAATCACGTTGAGTTATTACACACTGAAATTGGGATTCATTCCATTACTGATTACTTATGGTATAATGCAAGGTTTCGGGTTTGGATTCGGTTATTCAGCTACTGTAGCTGCATCAATTGCAGTAAGTTACTCTTATGTATAATAACTGGTGCCAGTTCTACGTCGTACAGTCTCTGATGGGGTTATTTTGAACGGTAATGAAAAATTTTAAAATAAATCGGCTATCTCAGAAAACACATGACGCTTGCAAAAGTCAATGTATCAACAATTAGTCGACAAATCACATTGCATCCAATCTATCAAACCATTTGAATAAGGTCAATCAACAACCTAATGAAAAGTCAATGGAACAAAATAGTGCACTAGAATAAAGTGGAAACTGGAGACACTGAAATATACGAGGATAAGCATTTACAATCATGCTCACCAGAACAAAATGATTTAAGACTCGTAGAACAACTAAGAAGCTTACTTCTACATGAAGTAAGCACTGATGACGATATACAGAGTGACAATGAAAGTTCCACAAATATACCACCTAGCACAGAGAACTCGACAGCACTAAAGGAATCTATCCATGTCGCAAATCTCTATCACGTTTAGCTATATTTGTGCTTGAGTTATTATCCTGTCAGGATTTACATCCCAGCTCAACACGTCAGGAATTGAAGAGGTGTTAATTAACTTGTTTAACTAAATTAGTTAAACATTTAGATACATTAGCACTTATTAAAATTACAGGATGCTTTCCTTATATGAAAATAAGAAATTTATTTAAGAATTACTTTAGATAGTTGATGTTGAATCACATTACTGCTTATTAATGTAACACTTTCCGGTAATAGTGTTATATCGGAACGAATTATTTATGGACTATTATTACATAAACATATTGAATAATTATATATATATATATATATATATATATATATATATATATATATATATATATATATATATTCGTATTTCTTATATCATAAGCTTTCATTTGATCTATTGGCTACTGTTATACGATTTACTATTCTTAATTTATTCCCAATTTATTAGTTACAGTCTCTTAAACTCACAGCCACTTTTGGCATGATCTTGCATAAATATTATTTTTCATTTTATGGCGTGATGCTGTCTGATTTCCTTATATATAAACCACGTATGTATGAAACATACGATTCATACAGTGGAGGTTGAGATTGCTTTCTAGACTTAATGGGCAAGATTTGGGTAGAGGGACCAATAGGGCTTCAGAGTTAACACAAGGCTGCTAGTGCTGTTTTGACGTGTCATTTGCTTTGCACAAAAACAAGATCATATAAGTCGGTATTTGGATCAGCGATTCTGTCATGTGGTAATTAACAAGGAAAAAGTCATAAAAAACAGATAACTCGTGGAGTTAAATTATAGTATGATAAAGTTAAATGTTTATCATTATTTGTATAGAATTCATAACCACAGCTGTCGTTTTATCGAGTTATTAATAGGATCTAGGAAACGAACATTATTTCGATGCTCTTTTCCATGATTTCGTTAGTTTAGTGTCAATACATAATACTTTTCATAAACCTAAAGATTATTGTATTACTGACGGATAAATCATTCCCACATGCCCTTTGAGTTATATCATACATAGTTTACAATAAACAAATGAAATCATTTAACACGGTAATTAAATAAAAGTTCATCTTTATGTGAAATACTAAACCCCATATTTGAAAATTCTTAAATACTATTGTAATTTGTTTAGCAAATTAACCTGCTTCGTAAAATATTGAAAGAAAAGTATAGACCTTTATGAAAATATAGTTTCTAAAGCAACTAATCAATTTTATAAATTTTAATGGCGTAGCGAATAGGTTGAACTAAAACGTTTAATGCATGAAACACATTTTGAATGATGTGAATCTAATTCTCAAAGGCATTTAATTTGTGCATTTTGTTTATTGATTTTATTTATAATGTTCCATGCTTGAAACTTGAATACTAGATGTTTTGTTATCAAGTTAGAATACATCATCATTTTATATTAATAACGGAATTAACCTGAATTCTGAATAAGTAACTAAAGACTAATGTACTTTTCAAAAACTAGGAGCAACAATAATTCATTTGTATTGGTTGTTTGGATGATGTTCAGGACTGCAATTGACCAGTCTCTTATTGGCATATATGAGTCTTGTCCAGATTGCCTCAATATTGCTATTTGGTCACAAGCATTATGAGCAGAGATGGATAGCTGCTAGCAGTGGAATCAAGGACCAACGTTTCATTCTATTTGAGACACGTCAGCTGGATGTACCTGAATATTTGAGTTGATGCTAGCCACTATCTATCTCTGCTTATAAAATTAGTACCGTTCAGATGAGATGTTACTTATTGATTTTGAAATAGTAGTGGAACATTTGCTGAGTGATCTTTTCAAATAATATTTCAGTCACCGTCGCTTTTTATTAAGAATTGAGGAAGCTAAATTTTATAACAATAAATAACTAAGTGCACATATAGATGATAAATGTTAATAAATTTTTGTGTTAAGGTGCCCAGGCTTGATTTATTATATTGACATCAGATATCAAGTTTTAAAAAAATATGCATATGTACTATGCTCTCCTTTTCATCAGCTGCATTCCTTTATTCTCATCAACAAGAAACGCTTCTGATACTTTGTCTTTCTTCTATTCAATAGTGGTTTCAAAATCATCGAGGTTTAATTGTTGGCCTAATTGTTGGTGGTTTCGGGGCTGGTCCCATTATATTTACATCGATTCAAACAGCATACATTAATCCAAATAATATCAATATAGATGACAAAACAAAGTCAGTAAATATATTTAATAAGGTGAACATTTGACTAAAACATACTGAACATTCTCACTTCTTAAAAATAAATATTCATCTCTTAAAACAATTAGTCCCTTTTATAAATTTCGATAATGTTATAAGAAGACGGAGATTATAATCTCCGTCTTCTTATAACATTATCGAAATTCATCTCTTAGTTGTTCAAGCATTCTAGAAGGATAATGTCACGATTTATCAGAGATAGGCTAAGGTCGTTCTAAATAGTTTAGCTTCTTGCGAGATCTCTCATAAATTTCTAAATCATATAAATTCGTAAAAGTAACAACGGACAGACCAAATTCCCATCAGTTACGATCCCTAAAACGCTATTACGCTAACTTCCATAACATTGGAAAACACTTATAAATTTATCAAGTACCGTGATAATGCGTACAACAAAATATGAAATATAAGACATCTACTATCACCACTACTACTAATACTACTACTACCGAACATATTATTGCACTTTCATGAATAAAATTCATCTGACGAAGAAGTATCTTATCAAATCAATGCCAACTATTTATGCAGAAATTTGTGAAGTTATTACAGATCAAACAATTTTGTATGATTACTGTTTAAGCCTCGGTTGGTCATCAACAGTGTAATTCAAACGAACTCAGTTTAAAATAAGTGAGAAAGGCCAGTGTTTTTCCCTATACGTGCTCGATCGACTTAGAAGAAAAATATACTTCTTTAATTTGGCAATCTACACTTTTTCTAATTTGATCTGATCAATCATAAGTTTCTTCTGAGTTTGTATTTTGAAAAATCCCAATTTCTAACTGTTTATTGAAGTGGAAAATAGAGTTATACCCCTATTTTATCAATAATTTACTGATTCACAACTGCTCACCAATTTGGTGAATTGTGAGATTTGATGTTTTATACAAGTAACCATGCAAAAGCAGCTATTAGTTAATACATATGGTTCCTATTTATGCACTATTTGGAACTCACATTCATCATAACATATTCTGTGATGTGGATATTCTTTCCATTGCTTTGGACTTTAACATTCACTATATTTTGTTAAAGCATCACTTTGTAACAATGAATATATTTTTTTTATCTTCATTCAACAGGCGATTTGTAGATGGTGATTTGATTAATCGTGTCCCTTCTGTGTTTCTACTTATTGGTGGTGTTTTGTTAGTTATACAGTTAACTGGGTTATATTTGATGAGAGATAAACAAAAGGTAAGAACACATTGATAAAGGATGCCGTAAAGATATTAAACAATCTTTTCACCTTGAAATGATAGCAGTAAAGGAATTATAATACTATATTTTACGTACTGAACAATTATGATACATGGCTGGTTATTTTTGCAAGAAACTTATTGTAATGCTATAAGCATGTACAATAGTTTCTATTATTCATTCAAAAATTTATAGGAATAATCGTTTTTAATGTATACTACATGTTTGTGTTTAGTAGAAATCCCAAGACAAACAAGTATTCTAGTTTGAGAAAAATGATTTTCTGTTGTAGCTGAAGTTGCTCAGTTTTTAAATTTTATTCATATTGTCACTTTATTAGTTTAATTTGACATCAATCTTTATTTTCTTCATATAAGAAGACGATTGTTCTGTTAACGAATCACGACTTCAAGGATCCAGATAAGTCAGTAAGTTAAAATAGCTAAATATAAATTTCTGTATCTAGCAAACTTTATCAGTTTTGGATGTGTCACTTTATTTTTAAAAAATATCAAAAACCAAAGTTTTTGCACAAACAACAAATCACTTGAGAATTAGTTGCATCTTGTAATTTAGTTAACAAAACAATATGATTGTAGTCTACAGAGACTGTAAACCAAGCAATAAACTTTAGTCAGTTGATGTTTTGAATACTCATTAGAACAGAACTCAGGTTATAAATTAATTTCAACTGAATTCCCTTTGAATTCATTTTATAGAAATGTAGTAAGTAGTAAATTCCCAGTGATAAAGAACTACAGTGAATAAAACTGTATCTTACACCAGTCTGATTTAGTCAAAAGTAAATACTGCTTTCGCATCAGATAAAAAGATAGTACCAGACTAAGCTTTAATAGATTTAGTGACAGTTTAGTTATATTGAATTAAGATTTACTAGATAAGCGAGTTCAATGTCTAAAACGTCGTCTAGTCTTTTAATCACATAAACGTGTAGGGAAATTTCTACAGAGTTAGAATGCAGGTTTAAAAATATCGTAAAATAAAAATGGTTATATTCTGTGAAATAGGCAGTTTCTAAAATACTTGTAAGACGTGAATTAACTTCGTCTCTTTTAATAAACATAATCATGAATAATGTCTTACGGTAGTAACTTAAAGCGTAATAGTGTGGACATGATAATTATGAAACAAAAAGTGAAGTAAAACTAAGATTTCTCATTAGTTGAGTTACCCTATATTAAGTAAATAAAAGTATCATGTTAATCTCATACTAATTACATTTTCTGTTAATCATACATTCTAATTCTTTTATTTTGCATTATGTAACAATAAAAACAACCTCAATCAATGTAACTAACAATTTTATAAATTTTCTTTGTTGCTTAGGATGGATTTCCACCTGTTATAAAGTAAGTTAACGAATTTTATTGATGAATTACTAATTGTCATAAATAAATGTTGTAAATTTTGTTGCATAGATAAAACATTTGAATTCCGAAACACGACAATGAAATGTAACGTAAATGCTAACAAATTTTCATCTCACTTTCAAAAGCGAGTAAACCTGCTTATTTAGTAATCGGTGAATAAGTCATACTTCTACGATAGTTTCATTTACACTTCACAACCTTAATCATTGATGATACTAAATTAGTCGACTTTTAACCGTCTCATAAATTCGGTCCATTATACGTGATGGAAACATTTTCGAGTTATCAGGGATATTATTAATCAAAAGTTGGAACATCGCTGGTCATCAATTAGACCTGATTTCGATTTATTTGTTTTTCTTATGTATAAACTTATGTTTATAGAAATATGTATATAAATAATACTTCTGAATTACCAAATTTCATGACACGACCTCAAATCAGATCTTTAACTTACATCCATAATGTTAGTTTACATTTTTTAGGCGAATATAATCAAGGAACAGTAGACGTTACTTGGAACAATAAATATTATCCTCAGTATCAGTTAGCCTTATTTTTGTATTTTCTTAACGTATATTTTGTCTTGTAAATTAAAGTCACAATCCCGCAATAGATCAGACAATATGAGCAGATTAGCCAATAAAACATTGAGATCCTGGTAGGACAACGATATTTACCACGTAAATGTATGATGGTTTATGCTTGAATCAAAGAGGATCTCACAGAGATTACGTCTACATTTTTAAAATCCAAGAATAAACTTTTGGTGGAAATACTTACTACCTGATTCTGGTTGCGCGGTATTTACAATCTCACTGTCACTAACTTACATAAAGAGTAACGTCACATAATTTTATATTGAAAATACCTCACAATAAACAGTGGCTCTATATGCTTTTTAAGTCTGCACATGAGATATAACAAATAACAACTAATCACCATCATCATTGTTTCAATAGCCTGAAAAAGTCTCAACTACCTTCCACTCTGTTTTTCAAAAATACATCGTAAGCTGACGCCAACACATTCTAGTGTAAAAGGGCAATAAATTTGAGTTTCATTAGTTTGAAATATCACCATTCGATGCAAATACGGTACATTAAAAACATTAATGTAAACATGGAAACACTATTAGACCATAACACAGGAAACACATGGTACGATCCATTACACAAAATCTGATTGACAGTAATTCAACATTTGAAGTGATCAAATTAAGAATGAACGTACGTTTTGTTGGTTAAGCTGTCTACTAAGTAAAGTTGTTGTATTAATAATATATTCTTGGAAATATCACCCTATAATATAGGATATTTTTTACAGATCTTTAGGATGTGAAGCAAGGTGAGTAATGAGCTGTTTTTTAGTTATTATTTATAACTTTATAAGGTTAGATTTTCTTCCGCATTTGTCGATGTCTGATTGAAACTGGGACGTATTTTTGTTAGAATATACAAACAACATCTATGTATATATTATTTGGTCAATGTGAATTAGTAACAATTTAATGAAATGGAAATTGTGATTAAATTAAAAATTAAAACGATTAAGAAAATCAGAATGCCAAATGTCGTATTTCGTTCTTGACACTGAAACAATCTTTGATATTGATAATTTGTCGAAAAATAATCAGTGGCGTTAGTCAAACTTTAACGAGTTTGGTGGTTTGATGCCCATCAAACGATTTAAAACACCGCATTTTACAACAATTCAAATCCCTGGTTAAAAATAAGTTACATAGTATCTCTAAATATAGTTTATCTACCTATTATTGAAGTTCAAAACCTTAATCTTTACAGTTCTTGTCTTCGCTTATCTTCTAATCATGCAAAACCAATTATTAAAACTTTAATACACTTAGATCACTACTAAATTACAAGTCATTCGTTCAGCTTTATGTCAGTGTATTATATACTATGTTTACATTTCAGGGTTATTAAAAGATCTATTCTTTTATTTAAACAGTAGTACTTGCACAAGTTTAATTATTTCTAAAAGCGATATGATGCCCAAGAATTAGTTCTAAAAATTGTCTTAACTGGTAAGAGAGTAAGTGACCTACAGATTAACTCCCTCCATTCGTCTGACATTTGATCATCTTTATTTTGTATCGATATTTTGTACATAAGCACTCCATCTTATTAGACCAAAAAAAACTAGCTTTAGTTATTGGTTTCGCCTTTGATTTCGATTCATTCTGAGGCTTACGTAAATGATTACGATTTCATGAACAGCCAGCGTCCGGTCAGATGGTATCATTGCAATTCATTTATCAAATCACTAACATCCTTAATAAGATTTAATTTATCCTTGGCTTTTATCATTATATTAAATGAAATAAGAAATCCGATAGACAGCTGACCACCTATGAACAGTTGATTAGCTATTCCGAACCAATTATTCGGCGTTCATACTGAGCATTCGTAGTTGAATTTTTATAGTATTGTAACCGATCACTTTATATCGGTACTCACTAATTACCTGTGCCATGTGGGATGCACATGTTCATATCTTGGAAATCTACATATTAGTAACTTCTAAACATCACTCATCATATATCAAAGTATAATGTATAGCGTGACAACTCTGTAAGAGGCATATTTAATGCACTTTATTCTAGAATTCCACTAGTGCCATTTAATACCAAAATAGAAGTCATTATTTCAAATGTAAAAAGTTGGATTATTTTACTGAAATGTCGTTACAGCTACAAAATATATCAAATAATAGAATATCAAACGATTTGTTTCACTGTAAATATCCATTGAATTAAATAAAATGGTTTGTAATTGTTAAAGGTGTTTATTTTTCTTGACAAAGTTCGGTAAATTTACGACCTTTGGAATTATTGAAACAGAAAGAATTTTATTTTTTATGGATCATTATATTTTGTGCTGGAATACCTTTGACATCGTTGGCAACACTTTTCAAGGTTAGACACATTTTTTTACAATCTAGTAAGATTTGTGTTTCTATTTGATTTAAACCGATTTTGTACAGAGTTATGATCAGCTTCTATGGATAAAACATGTAATACTGTTTGATTAACATAATAAAATAGCAATCTTGATTTTAGATTTTTATGGTACTTCGGTTTTCATAAACGCTAAAAGTGTTAAATCAAATTTTGGCTATTATATTGTACAGTTAGAATACAATTTACACTAGTCATCTTTACTAAAATACTTGTTACTAAGTGACAGTACCCAGTCAACTTGTTCAGAATGCATATTTGCCAGAAGCAACAAAAATAATCGCATTCTTTTATAGTAGTGGCGGGAAAATTCAATTATCTACAAATAATTTGCATCCGTCAGAATTATCGGAAAAATCGGTGAATATTAACTGTGTCTAACTCACAATGTTCTCTGGATTTGAACAATTACTATTCATGTATTAGGAGGACTGTGGTCATCAGTGATTACAGTGAAAGGCTGTGTGCATGCAAATAAAAAAATTTGTAAAATTAATAAGTCAACAATAGATTTTAATGTAGGTAGGATAAGATAAATGCTTTAGTGGCAATAATGAAGGGTAACAGAAGGGTTAAATGAAATCAAGTGGTTTCAGAAACAACTATAAATAAAGTCATGAGGCTATAAGAAATGATCTTTTATTGTAAGTATTTTCACTTCATAATTTAATATTATAACTTTCTTACTACAATATTACGCTTATTGAAAGATCAACAATTATCATTACAAGAATTATGTTAATAGTCTAGCGACAAATTACATCAGAATTCAAGGTTGAATTATAGTCACTATTGGTGATATAACGTGAATATGTTCTATTAAATAAAAAATAAATTGAGATTCCTGGTAAAAAAAAACAATATATAGAATATCTAAATATTGTCTATTAACTTATAAACTTTTGACCCATTTTATCAAACACTGATGAGAGTAAACTGTATTTTAATAAAGTTATTAAACAATTTTATAGACTAAACATTCAGATCTTCCAATAACAATAAATTTTGGATTAAACAAAACTGAACCTTAGTTTTTTTGTAAATTTAAATGTCTCACTAGGTTTGATGATATATTAGGCATGAAATGAAACTAGTGGGAATTCGAATATTCATCCAAATATTAATTTCAATCCTACATTTACAATCCATCCTGACTAAGAAAGTTAAATGTCAACGTTTTTCACTGTGTCTCTATAATAATACTAAAAGAAACTAACCTACATTCAACTAGCAAACTTCGTTTGGATGGATTAAATTAATTGCTTATCTAAACTTCACCGATCAGCCTTATCTAAAAGATATGGTAAAGGTGAACTCTGATTTTAGTCTTATCCCACTCCACTTTATCCTCTTACACTACTGAGTAGAGCGGATTGTATATGACTTATCATCAAGTAGTTATCAGCAATGTGCTGGTAAAAATCAATGACAACCCACCAAAATGAGAGCGAATCGATGATTGAACCAAACAAGAACAATAAATATTTGCAGAATACGGTAAACTCATTTCATTTCATTAACTTCTCTGTAGCTATATAGAAGCTAATAAGTTTAATTATTCCCCAATATTAACATAACATCCGATCTGAAGTAATGAACTATCATTCGGCTATTGGAAATGTAAAAAAGATAATAAGTGAATTTTTAAAAAGATTTTATAATTATTATTTAAGATGATAGTGTCAGAATACCTGAGAAAATATTATAGCATAATGTAACAAAATTTTTAGGAAGTTTAGAAAGAAAAAATTGGACGTGCGAGCTTAATTCTCTAGATTATGATTTTCAGCAATTGGAAAAAAAGAAAGGATTAAATACCTTAAGTTGCTTCTGTTCTCAAGCTAGCTGAAGACTAACCACAAATATTATGGACGTTGCAAATCTTGGAAAGACAGTATCAAATTGTTTATTGATTGATTTAATACACTGAATGAATTTGCATATAATTCTTAACATTTTTTAGATCCTAGTCAACAGATTTCTTATTAACAACCGAATTTTCAAGATTATATTAATAACTGAAAATAATTAAACTCACTAGCGTTTATGTAGCTGAACAAAAGGCTACAAAATAAAGTTTTTATATTCTCGAAGTACTGCAGTTCTTCCTTGGTGGTGACCATTTTGATTGAACTTACTATTTACAATTGACTTTTACTCTCCGTGACACTAGTAAGATGCTCTATCAATGATAACTATTAAGAGATATTAGGTTATGTGAAACTGACAAGCTGATTTAAGTAAAGCTGCTTTCTAATGACTGCCAAATCGATAGTTTATTCCGAATGGAGTTGAAGAACCACTGAAGATCAGAAATCACTAGAAATTTTTGTGGACCTCTAAGCAATTTCTGTTTTAAACGAGTTTGCTAAATTTTGGATAAAAACCTTCACATTACGCCGAGATATATCGACAAATAATATTTCCCTGTACTCAAAACATTTTAGGTAAACTTTTCCATAACCGCTACATTTTCAATAGATTCTAATGGTACATCAGATGAAAGAATCGATGGTACCGGAAAATTCCACTTAATATAAAGTTGTGAATCATAGTTACTTGTAAATGGAAATGACGCTTTCAAATTTAGTTATTTTTATTAAGTAAACGACCCAAATATTTTATGCTAATATTTCATAATAGTAAATTTAACTTTGTAAATTTAATAATACGAAAATAGCATTTAAAATAAGAATAACTGATCTGTAAACCTCTTTGACATTATGATGTCAAATTGTTTAATTAATTTGATGTTTACCAGTGATTCTGTAAACCTTAGATCTCTTTGGGACAATCGGAATAGTCATTTCGTAACACCAGGAATAAGTTGCTTGCTATAATAAAAATGATTGTCAGTTTAGGTGTTGTGGAGATTGTTAGGTTTTTGATTGAGATCATGAACCGATTGAGGTTAAACCACTAATCGGTTCATGATCTCAATCAAAAAATGTTTGTGTTTTATCTGATTACTTTTTCTACTGGAATTTGTATGACTGTTGAAAGATTTAAAAAGTCATACTTAAGTGAGAAAAGCATCCTCAATATTTCACAGAACTAATCATAAACATGAATTTACAATTTTTCAGCTTTTTGGTAAAACTCATATTAACGATGACAGATTTCTTGCTAATATGGGTGTCGTTGCGGCTGTATTCAATTCTGTTGGACGTGCTTTCTGGGGTGCTATCAGTGATCGTATTTCATTCAAGGTAAATTTCTAAAGTTTGGAATATCTTATTTATAGAAATCATTACTTCAACATTGGTCACACACTTTACATAAAATCTAAACTTCACTATTTACAGTAAAATTCCTTTATAATCAGAATATTATTTCTGGCTGATTGATTCTTACTGAATTTCCTGATCGCTGAGCATAAAGTTGTTTGTTGTTTCTCTAATTCAGCCAAACAAACTCAGTAAGCTGTCTATAGTTATCATTGATTGAATCGAAACATTACTTACTTATGCCTATTACCCTCGTGGAGAAGCATGGACCGTCCAACATTTTTCTACGTCATACTCTGTTCTGAGTGATCCTTTCCAGTTCTTTCCAGTCACTATCCATTCTTCTGATGTGTGCTTCCAACTCCGACGCAATGTGTTCCCTGGTCTTCTTCTTTCCGAATCCTTTCAGGATTTCAAGTTATCGCTTGCCTCGTGATGCAGTTTGATGATTTCCTCAGTATATATCCTATCCACTTCCAGCGTCTTTTTCTAATTTCCTCCTCAGCATGAAGCTGGTTTGTTCTCTCCCACAATAGGCTGTTGCTGATGGTATCCGGCCAACAGACAATGAATATATTACATCGGCAATTGTTTATAGATAATCGTACCTTTTTGATGATGGTTGTGGTAGTTCTCTAAGTTTCAACTTCGCACAACATAAATAACTGTCTTGATGTTCAAAAGGAAGATTCTGACTTTGATGTAGGTTGACATTTGTTTTGAGTTCCATATGTTCTTCAATTGTAGGAATGCTGATGCTGCTTTGTCATTCCTTGCTTTTACGTTTGCGTCAGATCCTCTGTGATTATCAATGATACTGCCTAAGTACTCATAAGTTTCCATCTCATCCAGAGCTTCTCTATCAAATGTGATTGGGTTGGTGTTCTCTGTGCTTTCCCTTTGTGTATGTTCAGGCCCACTGATGAATAGGCTGCTGCTACACTGGCTGTCTTCACCTGCATTTGTTGATGTGTATGAGACAGAAGGGTTTGTTCATCTTCGAAATATAAATTACCAGCTGTATCCAAGCTGTCCATTGTGTTCCGTGCTTCCCCTGAGAAGTGGGGGTCCTTCATGCTCGTTGTCTTTACAATCGATGACCGAGGAAAAATGAATTCAGTAAGAACTAGTATACAAATGTTCTTGAATATATATTACAGTAATTGGATTCACCACTATGTGCAGTGGTAATAAACAAAGTATAATAACATTGAGTGAATAAGTAAAGCAAAGTAATGGTGGTGTTGGATTGACACCAGAATTAGGTCACTTTGTAACTGAACTAGATTTATCTTGAAGCTGGCACTTAGAATCATCAGCACTTGTATTAGAATGGAAATAGCATTGACAATAGAACATCTAGTAATTGTATCCTAGTAAAATAAATTCAGGACAAACTCACAATGGTATAATTCGCATTATGTTGAAATAAATCCATAGTGTACAAAGTGTCAATCAGTCGTCTTGTCTCTGTATTTATGGACCGATATAATAATGGAATATGACTAACAGATAGATAAACAGGAAACCGAACAAAGGGATATTGTAAAGATCCACCTATAAGGTACTCGAATTAATCACATAAGTGAGCACGAGTTAACCAATAAAGTTGAATTAATGTATTTGGCAGTCGAGTGCTCAGTTAGATATCGTATTTCAAAATGAATATACGATCATCTAGCTGAATAGCCATTGATTGCATTTCGTGCTTCTCTTGATATGTGGAGGTCTTTGTAATCAAGCCGATCACCAAAAAATGAGAAAGAGTGAGCAGCCTTGTTTGACACCGGTCTTCCCTTGCGGTGAATTTGTGAGTTGTGCTCCGTGAATCACTTTGTAGTGTAGTCCGCCGTATCAATTCCGGATATTGTTGACGATTTTGTGTCGAACAAGGTTCCATTAAGTTCTCCTATCAACGCTGTCAGACACTTTCTAACAGTCAAGGAATTCTATGTATAATGATGAGTTCCATTCAATTGATTGTTCAACAATGATCCGTGGTGTCGCGATTTGAACTGCGCACGACTAATACTTGCAGAATCCAGTCCGTTGATCACGAAGTTGAGTGTCTACCGAATCTTTCATCCGGTCCAGCAACACTTTGTTGAAAATGTTTCCTCGTACCGATAGTAATGTTATACATCTGTAGTTCTCACACTTGCTCAGATCTCCTTTCTTTGGTATCTTGATGCGGTATCCTTCTTTCCGGTCTGTCGGAACTTGTTCTTACTCCCAAATCTTTCTGAATAGAACGTGGAGCATCTTTACAGTTGCTTCTATGTCTGACTTCGATACTTCAGCTGATGTTTTTAGGTCCTGCTGCTTTCCCACTCTTATTTTGTCTGATGGCCATCCTGATTTCTTTGATCATTGGTAGAGTGACATCTATTAGAATGGCTGTATGTTGCTTCTATGTCCTTTGAATTCAAGGGGGCTTGCCTATTCAATAATTCTACCCACCTGTTCCTCTTTTCTTGAATCTCAATGATTGACTTGCCTTCTTTATACATGACTAGTCGCTCTGGTTTACTATATTTCCCTTCTAGTTTCTTCATTGTGTCATATAGCTGTCTCATACTTCCTTCTCTTGCAGCTATTTTCGCTGTCGTCACTAGCTTTTCCACGTATTTCTGCTCGTAGTCTCTAATGCTCTTCTTCACTTACTTGTTTGCTTCTGTGTATTTCACTTATGCCTTTACTTTTTCTGTTCTTGTTCTGCTAGTTTCGTGTTCTTCCTTTCCTGAATCTTATCCAGGGTTTCGATAAGATCCATTCCTTATGATGGTGCTTCTTGCGGCCCAGAACCCCCTGAAAAGTTGAAGTCAGTGCTTCTTTGATCCATTCTCAATTTTCCTCCATATTAGTTTTTTTTTCTTTCAGTAGATCTTGTAAGGCTTGGAACCTGTTGTCGAGAGCTATGTTGAATTGGTTGAGTTTGTCAGCATTTCGAAGGAAGGCTGTGTTGAATCTTTGTACTGCTGTTTCTGTAATTTTCCAGTGCTTCCTTATCTTCAGTTTCATCTTAACAACCACCGGGTGGTGACCTGAAGCTATGACACCTCTCCTCTTGGTTTTCAGATCTTCCATGAACCTTCTGAATTTGTTAGCAATGCAAGTACGATCAATCTGATTCTGTATAGTGTGATCTGATGAGACCCATCTAGCTTTGTGTATTCGTTTGTGGGGGAATTAGCGCCAATAATAACCGTTTTGTTGAATACACATTAATTTGCAAATCTCTCGTCATTTTCGTACCTTCCTCTCTACAGCAGTAGCTCTTTTAGGGTTACTGCCGGTCTTAACTACGGGCAATGGAGGAGGTCTGAACATGGAGTCAGTAACCTTAACCAGTAGGAAGGTTTTGCTAGAAAAAATGAATCAAAACGTAGTTCAGCTATATCCAACAGAGAGTCAATTATTTCTTTTCTGTCCTGGAAAATCAGTTTATACTTACCATATGATTCAAGATAGTAAAACGAAGGGTAGTGACGTGTCAAATTTAAAAACATAAGTCAAATATATGATCAAACATCATCACTTCACAACTGCAATAGCGTACGTTAGGCCATCAAGAAAAAGCCAAAATATTAAACAAAAAACCGCTTCAAGTCTTGAAGCTTATCGTTTTGGTGGCTAACTTTAAAACTTCTGGTGGCATTTAAATAAATGTTATGTGTTCAGTAGACAATTCATAAATTCACCGTCAATAATGTTTACTTATAATTAAAAGGTGATATTTATATGTTGAGTTATTGATAAAAACACAGGTGTGTAAACATATTTCGAATTTCAAGTATCAGAGGAACTGTTATTCATTGTTATTACTGATATAACTGACATATTTTGAGAGAAGTTGAAGTATAACCGTTTGCTCACAATTTGACAGTTTTATTAAAAAGTATTTCAAGCTAGGGTATTACTTTTTAATAACAAATATAATTTTGAACATTTTAAGTTCATGTTAGTTTACTTCAAGCATTGAGTAGATCTAATGACTGAATCTATTAGAAAGATTAATGCCCCTGATGACAATGATGAATTTTAAGGAATATTCTAAGATCTTAACACATGTCTGTCCACACTAATGACTAATTTTAAATAACCAGATCAACTACTAAACAGTAGTATGAAGTTTACTAAAAACGAATTTAAGGAAGTGGTGAGGTAGTATTATCGTATGTGCTACTTATACAGACAGATATAAGGAGTATAATTCAGGCATTGGAAGTAGAATTCTTACCGACAGAATAGGAAAGTGAGAAGAGAAGGGAAAAGTGAAAGCAGAACGATGTAGTTTGTAAAAGACAATTCAAGAAAGGTGCGCAAACAGTGTATTTGATGCATTGTTTTCATATTTCACAAAGACAGTGTGTAGTTTTGTATAATATAATTTATTTTCCCTGACTAAGTCTTCGTTCAGTACAGTATTATCATTTCCAATCAATGAATATTTGCTTAACTTTGATCTAATGTATTTCATTATTTGGATGTCAGGTTCCATTGTGTATCATATTTTTATGCTGGTCACTTTTACTAACTTCATTCCCACATTTACCGATGATATTTGGACCTCAAATCAAAGTTGGTTTTGGTATTTGGTTATGTGGTCTCTATTTATTAATTAGTGGTGTGCTTGTCTATGCACCAACTGCTACAGAAACCTTATTTGGACCAATTAATATGGCTGTAAACTACGGATTAGTATTCAATGCCTTTGTAAGTAGATTATTTTGTTGATATTTATTCGACCTATAAAGTTTTCATTTTCCACAAGATGGATGGGAAACAAGAGTTAACCCATGATTTGAATAGAAATCCTTTCTTATCACTTAACCTTTTTAAAACAAAACTCGAGTTAGCAGGCTTGGAGCAAATAAGATGTTTGAATTATTTTGCACTTGTGATAATGAAAGTGTAGCTCGTGTAGACGAATTTGGTTATGCCTCGATCTCTAAGCCAGATGGTTTTATCTTACAAACTGCCTATCATAAAGAACATAAAATCTTTAAGATGTAATCTTGTAATTAATAAAATATTTGAAAGTGATAAGTAAAATTCTATAAATGATAAAATGACTACTTGAGATTTGATTGACAGGTATAACACATTCAGTATATGTATTTGTACAAACACAAGACCACAAAGATTTTTCTATGAACGTACATTAACAACAACTTGATCAGATGTATAATTTTCTCATTGTTATGTTTCTAGTAATTACAGTAAAAATGAATCGAATAACCACTATAAAAACACTTCTAATATCTTAATAGTTTTTCGAAACGTTAGAAATCATACTTGGTGAATGATTTACAGTTTAGAAGTCATTTTTTAACAGCCTTTAATCAAATTCAGTAAAACTTTTGGGATCCTGTTGTAAACTTCAATATTTTCTCTATGATATTTTTCATCCACATATTATCAAGATGAAATAAAAAACAACGATGCAGCAGAGATAGAAGGAACACATGTGAAAATCTTGTAAACTATAAACAAAAAAGTTTATACCACTGAGCCGGCATCCAACGGTGTTAATGTCTAACTTCAACCAATCTACGAAATTACGCCACTGTACACCATTGTATTCAGTAAGCTGATGTCTCACAACAGACCTGGTCAAACTCCACTGGTCACGGCTTCTCATTAGAACTCCAGGAAATGCCTCTTGAAATCAGTCATTAGTGAGCAGATGATTATTATCATAAGAGGCTTTTGTGGGTTCGAATCTCGCGGGGGAGCGGGATCGTGGATGCGCACTGCTGAGTAGTCGCATACTAGTACGAAACGGCCGTCTAGTGCTTCTAGGTTTTCCATGGTGGTCTAGCTTTAAGTGATTCATGATTTCAACTACTGGAATTTCTAAAATCTCCACAAAACCCCTTCTGATAAAAAAGTTTATATCGATATTGTTTTGCATCAATTGACTTTATAAGAAAAACAGACATAGACCATAGTTTTATAAGTAACAAAAGTGTGTTGTTTGTCAAAGTACTTACATATTTGATTTAGTTTGTTAATCATCAAGCAAATATATAATGTTTCATCGATATTCCAACACATAAAACAGAAGTGTTGAACTAGTCCGTTCAATAATGGTTAATGTTTAGAAAAATACGAAAACGCTGTCCAAGAGACACGTAAATTTCAGGTCATTAAATTTGTTAAAAGTAGTAAAAGTGGTGCATTCCTGATATTTACCTTGTATTTTTTTAAATACAACTTTGAACATTTTTTTCCTGATATATTTTCTTCAGTCAAAGTCAGGCGATTAATTAGCTAGTGAAAATTAATTGTTAAGTACTATTCACGTTTTATCTCAACTCTGATTTTTTTAAACCGAATTCTGAAACTGCATATCTTTTACACTACAATTTAAAGAATTCTTATAGTGTAAAATATGGCCTAGTTTGCATATAGACAAAAAAAGCTGTAATACTTTCTGAACTTCATTCAACCATTAGATCACTATAAAATAAGTTACCTGAAAGTATAATAACAAGTGAGAAGTCGTGTTTGTTTCCTTGTTGAAAAACAACATCAATATGTGATACTTGAAAAGGTCATTTTTTAAATATGATATGATAAGAAGCACCAAACTTCCGTGCACAATGTTGAGATGTCAGGTGGACTTCTGTGTTCAATAAGTAGTGTGTGATTGTTTCAACAAACTGAATTGGTGAAATAGAACCCTGAAATAATTTAGATGGTCATTACATGAGAAAACGAGTTGGATCAGCAGTTAAAATCAATCAAATAATTATCAGAGTATAATCTGTATTTCATCTTGAACACCTGTTAAATAAAGTATGCTATACAGCTACTGATTTATATCACCCTAATTTGCAGGGTATTATGTATATTATAGAAAATTGCTAAATATTATCCCTAAACCTTCTAATTTGCCGTTTCCATGCATTCTGGAATTCTTTACAAGCTGCTTCTGGGTATTAATTTCTATATGATAATAATTCAGTTTGTCGATGACAGTATTAGTTTAGCTTAATGTCAGACAGCTCTGAAACAGTATTTTTACTAATACGTAAAACCAATTTACAGAAGGCCACTTAATTTTATTCATATATGAGCATATTTTTCACTTATTTAATTAAGTTTTCGAGTTAATTTTTTAGTAATTTTGACCCATGAATAACCATATGTCCCTGCAACAGCTAAGTACCTGTTACTAGGTCAACCCAAGTTTTCGAATAAAGTATCATCACTACCTCCAAAGTTCAACAAACAAAAATCTATGAAGCAATTACTACCACTTATTTATCTTTTTTTACTTCGTGTTCTTTGTTTTTTCTTGCTAATAATAATGTAAATTAACTTCGTTAAACCATGTCCGGACAAATTCCTTAGTATTTATTAACGGATTTGTCATTTTAAAAAACTGCAGCCCTTATATGAGATACTGTCTTGATACTAATTTTGGCGACTAGCATCACAATAACCATTTGAACTCTGCTTGAAATGATGCAGTTTAATTATATGTAAACACTAACAGAACCGCATTTGTATAAATGGAAATATACACAGTGTTTAGTAATGACCATTAATTAATAACTAATATATACAAAACTATTTGAATTTTTATTAGACCGTAACATTTTCTGACTTGATATCTAGTTCATCTTTGTTTTCGAAACTGATTTACAAATAGGGATTTTATTCGTCACAATTTAATAATTTTATTGCAACAATACCTACTGCTTGATGCTGTAACATTTTAAAGAACTGAATTACATACTGAATTAAACAGGAAGTCTTCATACAAGTATTTATGCGACTATTTATAAGTATTCTCAATCGATAATTAAAAAGTGGACTAATCTTTTTAGAAAATTCATTTGATCAAAAATTCGCTATACGATGGACCAGATTGTACATCGATTTTCACATAATACGTATAGCTAAGTAGAGTTATTATTTTGTGAACTAAGGATATTCAGTTTTAGTACCTTTTTATGATTAATTATTTTCATTATACCCTAGGTTAGTATAATGCATATGTACACTTATATTTTATACTATGTTTCCTATACATACACAAATAGGTATTCGGTGGACTCTTCGTTTCGCTATTGTCCATCGTAATTCCACAGTTTCATGAATGGGATAATCTATTTTATCTATGTGCTGCAATGTGTATTTTAGGTACGTTATAACAAAAACCTTTAATTGTATCATGTATCATCATCCGGTATCAACTTCAAGAACGAAATCGCTCACTCGTTATAATTAGTTAGAATCAATTTAAAACGAGCATTATTTTCTATTAATTGGTGGAGGTTTCAAATAACTTCACAAAACATACGTTCCTATCGTGAAGATGTATTCCGAAATAATTAACTTAGCACTTATATAAATACCAAGTGTAATCTAATTATACTGACTTCACTAGTTTATAGAAACTTACACTATCAGTGACAGAAAAGTGTATAAAGCATGACCAATGCTCGACTTACCATAACAAAACATTTTTGAACTTTAAAAGTTTCAAGCAAACATTCAATTTTTACCTGCATTTTGTTTTTTGGCTAAAACTGTCACTTTGAAAATACGTACAATTCACTGTACATTGATGATCTGTCTAAAAAAGAATGTCCTGACGTTCAGATATGAATCCATAGTTTTAAAGGTTTGTCATGTAGGATGTGACAAAAATTACAGTAGTCGATATCGGCTATCGGTGAAGTTATAACATAAGTGTATTCAGGCTCCCTTGGGACACTTTTTGTTTAGATTAGAAAAGGATATTTTTGGAATTAAACTAAAGCTTTAAATATTGTAATCAACTGTTCATTACCCTCATATACGCAACGTAAATTTTCTGCACAGCATTGCCAAAAAGTGATTTCGACATAAACGGTGAGCTTAAAAAATCAACTTACCGGTTTGGAAAATCGTGAATTATGGTGAGTGAAATCGGGACCTAAAACCTAAGTAATAACATTTTATGTACATTATTCGATTTGTTTTAATAGATACAATTGTTAACACTCCAGTATGTTACAAAAGGAAGTGTAGTAAACACTAAAAAACATGTATTACTTATCAAATATCTTTTACTTAAACAGCTATCAGGTCTAAAAATTCGGCTAGTATGTAATGTACCGTGTTAGAAATGTAACCACTCACCTTAGAAAGATAAATATTGTCATGTATTTATTATTATCACCGAGAGTTATTTGATATGAACCTATCGGAACAAAACGAAAACGTAGTCTGCTTTTGGACATCCACATAACATTTTACTTGACTTTTTGTGTTCTTTATGATAAATTTCCAGTCGACATTTTCAAGCTGAACAAAATTGACTGTGCACATATCTCACATAAAAACGGAGAGTGGCGATAATGAGAAGTGAATAATCCACATATCGGAGACTAGTAATTGCTCAGTACACTTGATCTAATCATTTGTTTACCATAGATGGCATCAAGGAGAACGAAAGTGGTGTTAAATGAGTAGTTGTACGTTAACGATTTCAAACGAGAACACATCTAAAGTAAGGGGTTATATGCCCACTTCTGAAAACCATAGAATATTAAGTTAGGTTGGTTAGATGTTCTTTACATATTGATGGATTGTTTCTAAAATAATGATAACTTGCTTTGCTGAGTAGTTCTAGTAGTGATTTCGGTAAATAGATTTCTTGTTGAGTATTAATAATCATTTCATCAACCATCAACTATAATGTCATACTATATTTGAAACAATCTCAGCGATTGAAATTTAAAATAATTCCAACGTTTCGTCCAGCTAACTTGTCTGGACTTCTTCAGGGTCCAGACAAGTTAGCTGGACGAAACGTTGGAATTATTTTAAATTTCAATCGCTGAGATTGTTTCAAATATAATTTACATATATAATGACTTCTCTATACTCGGCGCCCAATATCTGTCAAACTATTCGTTCTAATCTTGACGAATATTCGTATAATGTCATACGTTATTTTAGATATTCAGCCACTAATCAGACTTCTTGTAATGATTTGTATTTTGGATAAAGCGTAGTAAAAATGAGTGGGTTTCAGTTTAGACTTTTACAACTTTAAATTTTAATCCATTTAGTAAAGCATTTCTTTAGTATGGATCTATTCCCTTCTATGCAAAAGTTAGTCATCAGTCAGTAAGTTTTGATAAACTGTGTGTTGTGTTTAGAATACTTTTCAATCTCAGTTATAACTTTTGTCTGTTGCTTTTAATGATTATTACTCACAACATCATATTGCATTACACTCACTAAATAAAAATATTTCTTTTATCCTAGCTTTGTTAATTGTGCCATGGATACATGATAGGAAAATGCCCAAATATTTCAGCTTGTTTCGATTTTATCGGCAAAGTCACAGTTGAGTTCTTCTAATAATTTATTCGATAAATACTGCTATCCTGAAAAATTATCATAGTTTTCTAACAGGGAAACACGAAACTTATCTTTTGTTAGTGTCATTCCGAAAATATTATCTCATCTGAACAAATGGACAGAATTAATAACCTCTTTAAAAATTAGCATGTCTCAGAAAATACATGATCCCTTTCATCAATTTACAATTAATTTGCAAAATTGATTAATTGCATGTACCAGACAATGATAATAATCAGTTAATACATTATAACCATAATATCATGGAAATTCTTTATCGTCTGAACTAACTTACAAAATTCAGTAGATTTCATAGTTCTTTTCTTGAATGATGAGTGTTTTCATACTGGCAGGGTTTCTTTACTTAAAATGTTTTCCACTTCATCTCATTATACACAATAAATGCCTTGGGCAGATGCATATTCATTTACTAAAAAATTTAATGCAGTTCTAGGATTGAATATTTTCATATATATACAGAATATACAGATATAACTTTATGAATATATGTATTGAACTTGTAGAGGCAAACTTCCTCTACATCTGACTCCAATAAATGATATCTCGTTAACTGAGTATTTAACGCTGGCTAAATCTCCTAGTAGACATATGGATTTACTCGAGATTATTCAGAAGCCTGAACACCAGTTGTAGAGATATTTTATTGTTAAAGATTAATAAAATCCACAAGCGTACAGCAAGCAAGCGTCGAGTGAAACAAAGTGTGTGTGTCCGTGTTAAAAATCTATATATATTTTTGAGTGTTAATCAAGTGTGGATAAATTATTGATTATCTCTGTGTCTCAACCAATGGGGGAATAGATTAAGGATTGATGTGCAGACACGCGCTCAATCATACTCATATAGAAACTAACATAGTGGAGTAAGCGTCTAAGTTACAGTGAGTAGACAAATAATACAATAGTTGGATGGGCTTACTACATAAGCTCCCATCCAGAACATTGATGTTTTTATTTACAAAAAAATTTTTTATTAACAACTTTGTTCGACAAAGAGATAAAAAACGAAATTGTCTTTAAAATAAATGTACAACTTGATATAATGATGAGTAAGCGTTAAGTTGTAATAATATCTTGTGTGTTGAAACATTTTATATCATGTATGTATAAATGTATATTTGGCATCAACGAATTGCATAAAGTAAGCATAATGAAGATCCGTGGGGCCAATAAAAAATAGTAATGAAAATAGAGAAGGATTTTTGTGTTATAAGAGCAGTCTCAGGACTTGGTTTAGATAAATATGGTGGTTGCTACATACCTATCTGGCCAGTGTACTCTTCTTCCTGATCTTGTTATGGTTTCTGTTGCTGGCGTACTTCGGAGTGAAGTAATGTTTGTTGCAGTTGACTGCTAACCCATACTCGTTTAGCTTCTCAAAAAGGATTTTCAGATGAGTTAGATGTTCATTTTAATTTTTGCATGCGATAAGTAGGTCGACTATGTAAGCATTCTACGAAAGGTAAGCCACGTACCACTTGGTCGATAAAACGCTTGAAACTTTGTGCAGCATTCCTTAATCAGAAAGGCATGCGAATAAATTCGTATAATCCAAATGGGGTGGTAATGGCTGTTTTGGGAACATCGTCTGGGTGAATTGGAATGTGATGGTAAGCACAGACAAGATCAACTTTTGAAAAAATCGTCACATCAGATAGACTATGAGTAAAGTCATGTAAATGTGGAAATGGATATCTGTCTGGTATAGTCCAACTGTTGAGAGCACTATATTTGCCGCAGGGTCTGACTTCGGAAGTTTTTCTTGGGTACCATATGGAGCGGTGATGCCCACGGACTATCGGAGGGGCGTATGATACCCAACTCTATCATTTTGTTGAAATTGTTCTTTGCTAGAGCCAAACGAGAGGGGTCAAGGAGTCTTGGACGTGCGAACACTGGTGGACCCTCTGTCTTTATGTGATGTACGACGGAGTGTGTCAGTTTGTCCCGTTTGAAACTCGGTCGTAATAAGTCTGGAAACTGATTAAGTAAACTAACATACTTGTAATTCTAGCGAAGAGGTTTGATCAATAAATGTATGGACGTCTCGTTAGATATAATTTCTCTGATTTCGCTGCTGTGGTCGGCAAGGACAAGTTTCCGATTTCTTACATCTGCGACTATTTTATGAGACTACAGAAAATCAATGCCGGTTATAGGAACGAGGACGTCAGCTATAATGAAGCTCCATGAAAAATTGGATTTAGGGCCGAAATTTAATTGTAACTGCCTTCTGCCATATGTCTTGATCTCAGATCTGTTTGCGGCTGGTAGTTTTAGTCTGGGGTCAGGTGTGTTTTTCTCAAGTGTAGTGGGTGGTACTACACTAACCTCTGCCCCAGTGTCGACTAAGAACTGTGTTTCGGTTCTTTTGTCTGTAACATATAACAAAGGACTGCCTTGAGAGTTGTGGTCAGCGACTGCAGTCGTCACTAACCGACGGTCTTGACGTTCCCTTTGTTGTGTGCTTGCGAAGTTACAGGGAGGAGTACATTTTTTAGCTTGCTTACCGTACGTTTTATGGTACCAACAAATGTTATGTCGAGTGGTGCTTGGACTACGACGTCTACGGCTTCTAGACCTTCCTCTACGCTTGCAGTGGGAGGTATTCAAAAATTGGAGCTGGGCTATCTGATTAGTGAGGACTTCGACTGTTCGTCGTAACTCAGCGATCTCGTCAGTTGAGTTGGATTGTATGTGAGATACGGAGTGAGTCCTAGTCCGCTCGTAAATTCTATCGGCTATGTCTGCTAGCCTATCAAAATCGATATCTTTGTCTCCAACTGTTGGATGTTTTGTGGGAGACGTCTGAGCCACAAATGATATAATAGACGTTTATCTACTGTACGATTCCCCAATAAATTTGTCATGTGGCGTTTTAATTGAGATGGTGTACTGTCACCTAGCTCTACATTAGCTAAAAGTTGATCAATTGTCTGCTGGTCGGTGAGAGATGTAACATAAATGACCTCTCTTTTTAGACAATCGTATGGTGAGTCTGGATCCGGCTTAAAAATGACGTCAGGCACTTGTTCAATAACGTCGTCTGGCAGCAATGAGTTCGCATAACTAAATTTTGTGCTCTGACTTGTGATTCTGTTTGCGACAAAAAAACTTCCTAAGCATGCAAACCAGAGTTCAGCCTTTCGGGTATTAAAGACAGTTAAAGGTACAGAGATGGCACCCACGGAAAATAGACTTAGTTGAAAGGCTTAGAGAATTGTCTAGTAACATGAGACGAAAAAATATTAATAATAATAATAAGCTGAGGATCGAAATATAAAATATGAGGAAATCAAAAATAGCAACAAGAAATATATATGAAGCTCACCAAAAAAACTGACACTGTGTTTAAATAGGCGAATATACAGTAATAATTCCAAAGGAACAATGTTATGGGTGAACTTATTGACTGTCAATGAATTGTTAATAATTGTAATAGTAATTCCAATATGAAGTTCTTTATGCTTGGAGAATATGCAGCGGACTTGGTAGAGAAATAGGTGAGTGTTCTAAATGCGGTTCATCAAGTTTGTAGAGGCAAACTTCCTCTACATCTGACTCCAATAAATGATATCTCGTTAACTGAGTATTTAACGCTGGCTAAATCTCCTAGTAGACATATGGATTTACTCGAGATTATTCAGAAGCCTGAACACCAGTTGTAGAGATATTTTATTGTTAAAGATTAATAAAATCCACAAGCGTACAGCAAGCAAGCGTCGAGTGAAACAAAGTGTGTGTGTCCGTGTTAAAAATCTATATATATTTTTGAGTGTTAATCAAGTGTGGATAAATTATTGATTATCTCTGTGTCTCAACCAATGGGGGAATAGATTAAGGATTGATGTGCAGACACGCGCTCAATCATACTCATATAGAAACTAACATAGTGGAGTAAGCGTCTAAGTTACAGTGAGTAGACAAATAATGCAATAGTTGGATGGGCTTACTACAAACTATATTATTTATGCTCAAACCTGACTCTGCTATATCATAACATCTCATATTCTAGATTGTTGGTGTTCTAAACTAAATCACTTGAACGCTTATGTCTAATCAGCACACTTAAGTATATTATTCATCATATCACTTCATTTTGTTTTAATCTGAATAATCTTATTGACACTTGTGGTTCGTCAAAGGTAGGTATCCCGACTTCTTTCAAAATAAACAGGATCCTTAACATCCACACATGGCTAAGCGCCATGGCAAACGCGTCAATTGTAAGAATCATTTAAAAACCATAGGCTCGGTCATCTATGTCACATTTCCTATGACTCAGTAAGTACAGTAAAAGCTAAACGATCCTAAAACAAAATACTGTTATTCCTACTATTTACTATTTATTGGCACAGAAAGTCACTAAATATTTGACAAAGGATTAAAATCGTTAACATTACCAATGCAGCAAAATGGATAGGGATAAGAATATAGATCGGTTGTAACAAGTATAATGCATAACCAAATTAGCTAATATTTAAGGAAAAATAGAGAATAATAGAGTTCGCACCACTGTAAACATGTTTACGTCTTGTCTTCTACAGATACAAATCACTGATTTTTGATATTCCATAAGCACAGAAAGTTCTTTATTCCTTGTTGGATACTAAATAACATTAACTGGAATATGAAAGGCCACTTTGCAAGTAGCTACAAATACTAGGTAATCACGCAATCTTAATTGAAACTGTTTAATCAGACCAAAAAGTACACTAAAGTCATTCAATTTCGACAAAGCAATTGGCTTACTGACACAATAAATGTTTCAGAACCAATCAAATGGTCATTACGTTCATTTTGAATGAATTTCAATTACAAACCAAAAGGTTCATGACACATGATAACTCATGATCGAAAAATAATGTCCAGTATCAACTAGGTGAGCAAAATCAATCAAATCATTTGCGACTTTTCATCTTCAGTACAATTTAATATCACTTACTGGAAAACAATGATGTCATTTTTTA